GAGAGTGCATGTGAGCGACGGAAGAAAAAGTGGGCGACCGCTCCGAGATTCGCGCGTACAGTCGAGGCGCTGAAGCAAGGACCACTCTGGGCTCAGGAGGAGGGGCTCGTGTTTTCGGGCCGGTCCTTCGTGGCCGAGGCCCGGCGTGGTCAGGGAAGCCTCTTCGTTCTTCATTTGGCGTCCCTTCTGGCAGTGCCATGACTGCAAGCTGCCCGCGAAGGGCCGCTCTGAAGCGCCCTCGCTTGATATGTAGCGTGCCACGCTGGCGGCCCGCGTGAGCGCGTAAGGTCGTTGTAATTAGGTCACCCTGCGGAAGACCCGCTCCCAGACCCCGACGTCATGATCTTTTCGTGACGCTGATCCCCAGAGGTCTGGACCCACTCCCCAGGGCCGGCTTTTCTCATCCTGCGCCGCTGTTTGACGCCCCCGAGGCCCGGTGGGGGGCCCCAGAGGCTAGAAATAGCGAAGACCCTCCCGCCGTGATTTTGTTTGGTTCCCAGCGCGAGGGGGTCTGGGCTGCGGCTCGTCGCTCGGTGAGCGCGCCCCGAGCAACTCACCACCCACCAAACCACCCCAACCCAACCCGAAGGCCTCCATCTGCCCTCCACTTCCAGTGTGGGGGGGGGCTGCGGGGAACACCGAGAAAACACATGTGGAACCCGTACCCCCCCGAGCCCGAAATTCGGACCTTCGGGTCTGTTTCGGGAACGTTATTACCATAGGTCGCCCACATCTTTACGATGAGTTGTACGCTGGGGCGGGGCAAAGGGAGTGGCGGGTGGAGGAGGACTATGCGGAGACCAAACACACGGGTTTTGCAAGTCGCACGCGGTACCAATGTAATATGACATGCTGGAACTGCTACTGGCAGCCATTGCGCGACGCTCGCTATTGCACAAAAGGTTTCGCCTGCCGCGGTCTGGGCCTGAGAGCTGCTCTGTTGCTCGGGTCTGCGTGGGTGCACGAAGATGACCTCGTTGTGCGCAGCGCGGAGCGCGAAGAGAGGTACCCTATGTAACCCCCTAGAACGCAATAGAGTTTCTACATGAAGGGATGCCACCCGTCTGCGTCGTAGTTTAGTGTTTAGTCACGACGCGGGTTTCTGGATCATCCGACCCCGTCCCCAGGAGTTGCTTCTTGTCGAGGGTATTTTTGTCGACGGGCCCGGGTTTCAAAATCGAGCCTGACGGCCACATCCGCGAAAAAACGCCCATCATGGTTGTTCTTTTGTTTCCGTTGCGCCGGGTGGCCTGGGGAGGATCCATGCAGATCGGTCTCGGGGACTTATTTTTGGGTGATCTGCAGCCGGGGTTCCAAGGCCAATCTTGCCGTGGCTACGAGTCAGAGGCGGCCAAGAGGGGGGCGATGACCATGTGGGTGTGGGCCTGTGTGTGTGGATCTCATGGCTGGGGCCATGATACTTCGTGCGATTTCATGGCCGAGTTCGCTTATTTCATCAAGTCCCTTGCGCCAGGCGCGTTCTGGGTGTGCGCGTCGTCTCTTTACGCGGTGCTCAGGTGTCGTCCGACATTCGGGCAGCGCCGAGCGTGGCCGCCACCTTGGGGGGTCACCACCTCCTTGTAAGTCGAGGATCGAGGATCGAGGCAGACAAGGAATAATAGGAGGAAGACAGGGAGAAGGGTGAGGAGGAGGAGGACGAGGAGGAGGAGGAGGAGGCGGATGAGGAGGAGGAGGAGGAGGATCCTAGATCGAGTATGTTTTGGGCGTTTTTGACCGCGCTGGTGCTTCGGGCCATGCTTTGCGAGCTCCCCTTCTTGGACGCCCCCTTCTTGGACGCCCCCCACACTAGAATTGCAAGGCGCATCCTGCCGTTGTCATTTCGAGGCGGTTCCACTCGTGGCGACGATGGCTTTCCAGGAGGCCCCCAAAGTGCAAAGACTATCGAATTCCTCCCATTGTCGTCGTCTCTCGTCGTCTTCCTTCGTCGTAGTCTTCCGGGGTCGTCGTCGTCAGACCAAAATCAGAAGATGGCCCTCTGGACCACTCCTGGGCAGCTTCGCATCCCAGATCGATCGTTGATGGCCCAGGGGCCCGATTCAATCCGTTTCAAGTCGGTCCCTGGACCACTCCTGGGGTCCATCTATCTTGTTGTCCCGGATCGTTCTCCGACGGCCTTGGGGCCCGAATACGCCCCCCCCCCGAGGCCGATCTCGAGGGCATACCGGCCCAGAATTGAACAGCGAGGAGCACCGTCGTTTTCGCCGCCGCCGTCGCTGTCGCTGCCGCCGCCGCCGTCGCCGTCGCCGTCGCCGCCGCCGCCGTCGTCGTCACTGTCGTCACTGTCGTCGTCGTCGTCGTCGCCGTCGTTGTCGCCGTAGCCGTCACAGTCGTCGTCGTCGTCGTCGTCGTCGTCGTCGTCGTCGTCGTCGTCGGCGTCGGCGTCGGCGTCGTCTGCCCCTCCTCGCCGCCTGCGCCCCTCCTGCGGGGTGCTCGCTGCCGCCCCGGCGCGCCCGCCCAGGTGCTGCGGGCCGCCCAGCGGCAGACGCCCCTGCACTCCCGCAGGGCGCGCCGCCGCCGCCGCCGCCGCCGCCGCCGGCGGCGTCGTCGTCGTCGTCGTCGTCGTCGTCGTCGTCGTCGTCGTCGTCGTCGTCGTCGCCGTCGTCGTCGTCGTCGTCGTCGTCGTCGTCCGTCGTCGTCGTCGTCGTCGTCGTCGCCGTCGTCGTGGTCGTCGTCCGTCGTCGTCGCCGTCGCCGTCGCCGTCGTCGTGGTCGTCGTTGTCGTGGTCGTCCGTCGTCCGTCGTCCGTCGTCTGTCCATCCTCGTCCTTCGTCCTTCGTCCTTCGTCCTTCGTCGTCGTTGTCGTCGTCGTCAGCGTCTCGTTGTTGTCGTCGGTGTCGTAGTCGTTTGCGTTCTTCGTCCTTCGTCATTTCACGTCAAAGTCAGCGTCAACGTCGCCAACGTCGCCAACGTCGTCGTCGTCGTCGTCGTCGTCGTCGTCGTCGTCGTCGTCGTCCCTCCGCGTTGCTCGTTGCCGCTTGGCGCCCGCCCAGCTGCCGTGATCGTGTGCGGCGGGGCCGCACGCCGCGCGAGGATCGATGGATCCAGGCTCTCGGACGCTCGCGGCTCTCTTGGGGCCTCCAGGGCGCTGCTCGTCGCCACGGCCGGGTCCTTCTCTCCTGCGCGCCGCCCGCCGGCCATCGTGCACGGCGAGGCTGCGCCGGCAGGGCTCCTCGAGGGTCCTGGCTCCCAGGCGCCCTCGCGGAGGGAGAGCCAGCCACGGTGGAGGGTGTTGGGCAGCTCTCGGCCTTTGGGCGCCCTTGCCGGGCCCCAGGGGCGTCAGATACCGACTCGGGGTCGGCCCCTTGAAGGTGTCGGGGCCTTGGGGGGTCCACTGTCACGTTGTGGAAAGCACCACGTTGGAGTTGTGGTCGGTGATCCTCAGGACGTGTGTTAGCCCAATGTGGGTTTACCCCTTTCAGCCCAACCAGTAGATCAGTTTATCGCCTGCGTCGTATCGACGGGCCTCGATGGACAACACACACCTTGGGACTCAGACACGGGGGTGCTGTCTGCTCGCAGCCAGAAGCCCACGCAGAGCGATTCTCATAATCCTGGCCCGATGCTCGCTGTCGAACGAAGGTGGATGTACAAAGTCCTCTCGGTGTTATAGGTGTTCTCCGTCCTCTTTGACTTGCGCCTTCCCTTCCACGTCTCGCCGATGCGTTCTGTCGCCAATGCGACGGTAGTGCGGCGGGATCCTCCGAGCCCCATGTGCTCTGTGCCCATTTTGGCACCCTCCATAGGGCGACGAGATCTACATACATCTACTGCTCCTGGCCAGGCCCATCCTGGAGCGAGGAGCAGCGGATATGCATAGATCTCATGATGATGATGATGATGATGATGATGATGATGATGATGATGATGATGATGATGATGATGATGATGATGATGATGATGATGATGATGATGATGATGATGACCATGATGATGATGATGATGCTGATGATGATGATGATGATGATGATGCTGATGATGATGATGATGATGATGATGATGATGATGATGATGATGATGATGATGATGATGATGATGAGGAGGAGGAGGAGGAGGAGGAGGAGGAGGAGGAGGAGGAGGAGGACAAGCAGGATGATGATGGTGAGGAGGAGGAGGAGGAGGAGGAGGAGGAGGAGGAGGAAGCCATACGGCCGAGGAGGGGCTGGGACCGTCGCGGCATCGTTCGTCGTCGGTCGCCCCGTCGGTCGTGGCTCGCGCGCCGCGGAGCCATCAAAGAGAAGACAAAGAGGCGCCGCAGCCGCGGCGGTCACCCCGACCGCCACGCCCAGGATCAAAGAAGAAGCCTGGCACCGCCGCGCCAGGACCCAAAGAGGACAAGACAGGCTGCTGATAAGATTGGCGGCTGCTGCCAGCAGGTTGGAGCAGCACCACAGTGCGCAGCAGCCCCAGCGCCACCAGCAGCACGCCATGGAGCAGAACTGGAAGCAGCAGCGCGACGCCTCGAGGGAAAGGTGGTCAGGAGCAGGGACCACACACCTCGAGGCGTCGCGGCGCGGCCCTGGGAAAAGGTGGACAGGAGCAGGGTCCACAGCCCAGGCGCAGCGCCAGCGCAGACGCAGCAGCAGTGCCAATGGCTGGACTGGCGACTACGGAGCCATCGGAGGGCGGCCCTGGGAGTGGGCCCTCGGGGATGGCCATCAGCACAACTCTCAGAAGAGGCAGCACAGTCAGCAGCAGCAGCAGCAGCCTCAGACCCACAAGCACCACCACCAGCCAGCCCAACACCAACACCAGCAAAAGCACCCACAGCACCAGCAGCGAAGCGACAGCGACCAGCACTGGAAGCACAGTGCGCCATGGAGGAGCGCCTCAGCCAGAAGGAGAAGCAGCAGGCGCAAAAGAAGGGACCAGCTCGACACTCCAGCCTCAGCCTACATCGGCAGCTTCCAGTACAGCCCTCAGCAAAAAGCAGTCCTGGACAGCATCACGCCAGTCTCTTTCGCCGTCGCGATGGAACATGAG